ATTTAATCTCTGGTGCAGGAATGGTTTAGTTGGCAGGTATCCTTCCAGTTTAATATATATAAAATACATACATACATATATATATGGATGAAATGCATCTTCCCTGTTAAGTGTATACACACACACACACACACACACACACACATACATATATATATATATATAAAATACATACAATTTGGCATTTAAATCCCAGAACTGGGTATCATCTGTTATCCAGGGGTTGCTGGGGAGGCAGCCCGACATGATGGCATCGTTGGACGAGAACTGTTCGCTGTATTTGACGATCCTGAAAAGCAAATGGGAAACAATTTCCTAGAAGCTCAACACCCAAGAGACAAATTCAATACTCAGGCTGACTGACCAGCCTGTCCGCCTTTTCCTGTATTGATTTAGTTACACACGTGTTCCTGTCTTCTCAGAAAAATGCTTTAACAGCCCTTGGGATTGGCAGGTATTTGACAAGATCCATCCCTATTCTACTTGCGAAACAAAACGTTGTCTCCCAATCCAGTTCCTCTGCTTTTTCTCTGTGCCTATTTCATTGAAATATGCCTTACATTTTATCAGGTTTTTAGACTCAAAGCCAGCTCAGTTTGCCCTTGTTCAAACAGGTGTCTCCGCACCTGTCTTGGAAGCAGGAGGTTGCCGCAGTCTGGCGAGATTGTTGCCACGTCGGGTTCCACCCCTTGTCAGGGTAACGCCTGGATTTGGGAACTTAGACCCACTATTCAAACCTGGGGTCTAATTGAAGTGTGAACCCCAAATGAACTGTTTGGAGAAAGAGCTACTTCCCTCTCTTCTAGCTATTTTCAAATAGATTTTATCGCTAACTGTAGTTATCCAACAGTGGCATAGAACACTAGAACTTATTCCTCCTATCTAGCTGTCATTTGTATCCTTAACAAATCTCTCCCTCTCTCTTCCCCTTACCCTTCCTAACCTCTAGTACCCTTGGTTTTACTTTCTATGTATTTTCAAATAGCTAGAAGAGAGAATATTGAATGTTCCCAACACAAGGAAATGTCAAATGTTTGAGACGATGGATATACTAATTACCTGATCTGATCACTATACATTGTAAGTATCAAAACATCACCGTGAGCCGGGCACTGTGGCTCACACCTAACCCAAGGGACTCAGGAGGCTGAGGCAGGAGGATCGATTGGTTGAGAGCAGGAATTCAAGTCCAACCTGGGCAACACAATGTAACACCCCTACACACACCCCATCTCTAAAAAAAAAAAAAAATGAAAAAAATGAGCCAGGCATGGTGGTGTGCACCTGTAGTCCCAGCTACCTGGGAGGCTGATGCTGGAGGATCACTTGCCCCCAGGAGCGCAAGGCTGCAGTGAGCTATGATTGTGCCATTGCACTCCAGCCTGGGCAACAGAATGAGACCCTGTCTCTTAAAAAAAAAAATCACAACGTACCCCATAAATATGTACAATTATTATGTGTCAATTTATAAAAAAAGGCGTTAATTCCCTTGAGATGAGTCAGATCTTCTGAGTCAAAACATTCCCGGTGTCTGGGAAGCGTGGAGAAACCTGCTGTGCCTTCTTCCCACCGGTGGGATTTGTACCCACAGTGCATACATAA